TGCTGTTAATTTTTACTCAAACACATCCATATATTAGTATATGTATATCGTGACAAGCTGCCCCAGCCCTGTCCTGCAATATATTTGTTTATTTGTTTGTTTATTTGAATTTACCACCAGATATACAAGTGGAAGGGAGGACAAAACAGGTGATTTGACACCTTTACAAGTTGTCCTCCCAAACACAACATACAAAATACAAAAATTAAAGCAGATTACATGTATTTATTAAATATTCCAATTATGAACATCATCAAATATTGTACATCAACATAATCATCAATATAATGTAACCCAACACCACAGGGGGTTTCTACAGTACTGGTTACCATGGTGACAGATGTCTGGCCCAGGTCATTGACCTTATGTGTTTGGAGAAGAAGAAACTGAGCAAAACAAATTGTTTTCCTTCTGCGAAGGGAAAACATAAATATCATGGAAGCTTGCCTGTGTTTGGTTTTAATCATAGTAGGATGCTAAACTTTATTCAAACACAAAGCGGGTACAAAATGTGCAACGAATTTTGAAAAATAATCAACAACCGATTCTGAAGCCTGCTAGAGGCTATCTTTTTAAGGCGGAGGACTTGAACTAGACACATTACGTTGGAATCAATATGGCATCACAGTACAGTGCAGTGTATTGAAAAGCTTTTTTCAGTCTGTTCTAAGACAGGTAGCTGCGTTCTACGTAACGTTTGGCGCCTCTAGAGTCTGGCAGAGGCTATCACAGACACGGGTAGAAGACTTTTATTTACCCGTGAATCATCTCTAAATGTTCCTTGGTGTTCTCCCCCACAGTTGACCAAGTTCATCAACAGCGTGTATTACGAGGCACTCCCCAACACAGCCGCCACCAAGATGCAGGGCAACTACCGCCCTCCCCAGGCCCTCAACGGCCGCACGGTCTACCGCTCATTCGATGACGCAACCCTCAACGTCACCCCTAGGCCTGCTCCATGGGACGCCGACAACGCCGCCGTGCGGTTCGTGCCGGAACTGCTGTTCCTCCTTCTGACAGCTGTGTTCGCCGCCATGTTTTACTGATTCCAAAAGATGCTAAAAAAAAGAAAAGAAACGGCGCACAAATTTTTCTATTTTCGAGCAGATGTTGGGAAGCAAAATCCTAACGTTATCCAACCTCGTTCTCTTTTCTGTTTGCCGCCAGTTATGATTCCAAAAGATTATAATAAAGAGCGGCACACAAATTTCTAAATCTTCAAGCAGATATTGAGAAGAAAGGTCCTAACGTGATCCAACTTCATTCTCTTTTCTCTGTGACTTGAAAAAAAATGGCACAGATTAGGAGGCAAGATGTGATCCAACCTCATTCCTTTCTGTGACTTCAAAAACGAAGAAAAAACGTCACAACTTAGTAAAGACTTTATCTTGCAATATCTGTATGGTGATTACGATTTTCTCTAGTTTCGAAATTGAAACTTTGCTTTCGATGACTTCTAGGTAGAAATTTAACGAACCTACGACCAACCTGCCCAGTTCTGTAAGAAAAAAAGTTTAATTCGGAAACTGTTTGTTCGATAGATTTTAATTACACTCCCAAACGCGTGGCATGACGTTGTATTTTCACGACTGAGATGACGTGTGTTTCTATGATAACAGGTAACTATGGTAACAGGGCTGTACTCTAGATGAATGTATTCACTTGTAACCTGGCCTTTTAACTACAAACTCAGTGTGAACAAGAGCTTACGACATCATGACGAAAATATCTTTAAAGTTTTTATTCGCTTGTACTCCATCCTCCTTCGCAGGGCTAAAATCCTCCGGTTCCCTTCCGGTTTTAGCCCTGCTATTTACCGCTGACAGTTTGACTTCTGGTGACGTCACTTATAAATAATTCATGAGCTTGCCTTATTTGGCACAAACCAGACGGATGTCGGGGGGCTTGCCCTAACTCTGTCTCGGCTTTGGCCAGGGCTTTGGCCGCTGCTGGGAAGCCCATATAGCACAGGCTCTTCCCTCCTCCTGTCCGCACACTCAGAAAAACGTCTCTGCCATCAAGCAGCGCCCGTAGCGTCGACTGCTGATGCTCACGAAGCCGCTCGACTCCAAATAAATCTTGCACGGCTCGCACGAAACTTCTAGTATCTGTAATAGCCGCCATCTTGGCCTGTCATGTAAGACGTAACCTGATTGGCTAATAGGTTCCCAGCGACCTTTGCGGTTTTTGCGCAAAGCTCGGTGCGCAAATTCTCTGATTGGCTGACAGCAGTTTGGCGGTGACGTCACCAGAAGTCAAACTGTCAGCGGTAAATAGCAGGGCTAAAACCGGAAGGGAACCGGAGGATTTTAGCCCTGCGAAGGAGGATGTTGTACTCGGGATCTATCTACTAGTAGCCTTATATCTGAATATTCAAAACTATATATGTGATGATGTAATGACGATGAAGGCTTTTATGCGTGTGCAGGTTATGATGTTACTTATAAGAATTTACTGTTACGGTAAGGCTTTCCTAGAATTCAACTGACATGTTTATAAGATATTGTCCTATCATTAGTCTTGTATTATGGATAAGTACCTTTGTGAGTTCTGTTCTTAGGGTTATTCTTATTGTTCTGTAAAGAAGTGGTGTGGTCACTGTAGTGAAATCATTTAATTTGGTTGATGTGTAATTTTATGAATTAAAATTCATGTAGAATAAAGGGAATATTTTGTTTTCTACATCTTGTCTTCGTATCAATCATGTCGCAGCGTTGGCCAAAATACAATAACGGCGGCGCTTATATAAGTTTTACCCTTGTCCTCCGGGACCCATATATACATGGGTTGCACATACAGTACCTTCTATATAGTGCCCTGTAAATGTACGATTTGGGGGGTATTTCTCTTGCAACGCATCACACCGCAACGAAACGCAACGAATGCGGAAGTAGCTACGCCACCGCAGGGCAAAAAAAGTCAGGGCCTGTGACCTGATTAAGACTTCAAATTACTTAAAATATTGCGTAAAAAGTCCAGGAGGACAAAGGTTAATCACCAGCGCAGTCTTTTATTTTCTTTTATGTGCTTTAAAAAAAACACACACACACAACGAAAACCGCGAAATATCTGGGTTTCTTGTACAGTGCGTCTGCCAACGTACACATGCGACATTTTTGACACGTTTAAGGTTTCTTCAAAGAAATTCCGGGGAAATCATTAAAGATTGCCTCCTCTGTTGTTGACGCACTCCAGACTATTGAGTGATTAACAGTAAAATATGCAATGCCTGGGCTATACAGCACGTAGCGACTACAAACAACGCGTGTAGATATACTCTCCAAGAAGAGGTGTGGTGGGGAAGGTATAGGTGAATGTAACTTTTTAATATGCTCCGTTTTTTGTTGCTACCCCAAAAAGTCACAATCTTCCCCACCAACCTCTGCTTGGAGAGCATCTAAATAGATCACCAATGCAACATCCTCGATAAAATTCACTCCTGTGTATCTTATAACTCCCCTCTAGAGTTCTGTACAGCCCACCCCCCTCCACCAGTCCTTTAAAAAGTCAAGTCAATCTTTATTGCACAACAATTGTAACAGGTACAATGCATGGCAAACTCTTCAGTACTGCATATCTGACCAACATCTACTCTCACGTCTACAGTAATACCTACAAGTTCTATGTATCGAAAATAACATTATACTATTCAAAAAGGTAATATAGTACATGTATATATATGGAACATGGCTTACATGATAATGTACATGTCTTGAGTTCTATATGACTGTATAAAGGATTTGCCAGTTTTGTAGCTCAAAGTAGAAGATGAAGCCCACTTTGTTATTGATTGTAGTCTATATAGTAATGAAAGAAATTATCTTTTTAGATATATTACTAGTACGTTTCCATATTTCTAACACTAGTAGTACTTGCCTAATATTGAAAAATTTATCTTTCTTATGCGCTTTGATCATTCTGTACTATACAAAACCATCTCAAATTATATTTTCAACATCACAAAGAAACGAGAAGAAGCCGAACCCCTGTATTAGAGTAGTTTTAGAGCTGTTTATACTACAAACATGTATATTACCTATTTCATCTGTTGACCTGTACTTAGCCCGATAGGGCATGAATGTACAATAAAGGTTATTATTATTATTATAAACTAGAGTGTACGTACATCAGTTGGTTGAGGCGGATATAATATGATTCCTTTTAACTAAAGCTTTGGATATATACTGGCCTATGTACACGGAAGTTTCGTCGGAACATGACATGAGTAGAGTAAAAGTATCTGAGATTGTTTTAGGTAATGTTATATGTGCCTTGTTGGTGATCGCGTTCATAAGTGTTTCTCTTTCTTCGGTGTAGGACGGATATCATAACAGAAAGTGCATTTCATCTTCTACAGTATCTTTACAAGTAGGACATCGTCTGTGAGTGGCTGGTACATTGTTATAACGACCTTTCTCTATTTCTAAACAGTGTACGCTGAATCGCATTTTGGTTATGTTGTGCACGGTGCGTGGGGGCGCATCAGGTTCGGGAAGGTTGAATGAGAGTGCGCAGGGTGCGTTGAAGTGCACAAGGTGCGTGACTGAGTGCACATGTTACGTAAGAGTGCACAGGGGTGGATGGGAGTGCATTAGGTTGAGTTACAAAGAATGAGAGTGCAAAGGGGTAACGTTATATGTAGAATAAATTCCTTATGATACATAGGGTATACAAGTTGTAGTAATGTTTGCACGTGTTTGCATGTGTATATGCATAAATTTTGCATACATTAATGATTTATATTTGCATATATGGGAAAATACCATGCTCCCGCTACCCGTTTACGGCCCGCGGGGGAAGTACTATCTCAAATTACATAGAACCAGGTACATTGTCAGGTGCGTAGTAGCCTCAATCAGATGGCAGTAAAAGTTTCAGAATAAAGCATCAGAGCTCACGTTGACTACAACACAGGCTGAAGAATTGCCCGTAGGGGGACCTGTGGCGCAGTGAGACGGCGGTCACAGGGACCAACATGCTAGAATTCGTGATGGGCGGTCTCGCGGTCAATATTCTGTTCCAGGTGGCGGCCATGTATACCTCCTGGTCCAGTCAGACTGACGAGACGGTGGCCTCCTTGCGTGAACGTATCGCTGTTCTCGAGGCCACAGCACGGGTAATTACGCTACAGGCGACCTTTGTGCCGTCTTTCTTAGTTTGTAGGCTTCGGATAGCACCTGGTGATACAAGCACGTTAATGCGCATTTATTTACATACAGAAGCATCACGGTCGGTTACAATCGACACTTGCCATTGCCTTTTCTCTTGTGTGCATGTGTGTATGTGTGTGTGTGTGTGTGTGTGTGTGTGTGTGTGTGTGTGTGTGTGTGTGTGTGTGTGTGTGTGTGTGTGTGTGTGTGTGTGTGTGTGTGTGTGTGTGTGTGTGTGTGTGTGTGTGTGTGTGGACGCCTTTAGAACCAGGATTTCTTAGGGGCATGATCATTGCCTCCGGAAAGAACGTTGCCAACTGTTCATACATTTATGTGTTGGCCCTTTATAGTGTGTTTAATGTGCGTAAATCTCTCCTTATCTAATTAGGAAATTTCAAATTTACGAATCAAATCTGCTACTCAAACAAATTTTCTTCCAGACTTTCAATTGTCTATGGCAAGAGCCTGTTTTGTATGCTACATGAAATGTCTAAACAAGCTTGAACACTTGACAGAATGGTTCTACGATCGTATAACATGTTGTCTTTGTCGTTCTTAAATACAGGAAACCAAAATTCTCGTACAAGTATTTATATGATATTCTATAGGAATAAAAATTACAGCTAATCATAATTGTTTCCAGGGTCCTCCTGGACCAGAGGGACCCCCTGGACCACCCGGACTAGTGAGTGGATCGAGTAAGTTTTAATAGTACTTAATAGTCTATGGGCCAAGCATCGAATATTCAGTTCTACTTCCGGGGTCCAACGGCAGGTCACCGTTATTCAAGGCGGCACAACACAGTTTTTAGCTCTATGGGGATTTCCATGGTTAAGGACCCCAAAGTGACTCAGTTTGACTCACTGAAAATCATAGTAGGGTGCACAATCAAGGTTCAGATTTTTGATATGTCTAATTTCAGGGTATAGTGTACAAAATATGTGAAAATGAGCTTAAATTTACCGGCTAGTACTCTTCTCATGCCCTCTTTTATTAGCGCCACTGCGGAGGTCATGGAACTGCAGCCGACGAACAGTACTAGGCGGGACAAGTATCCAAGCGCAAATCTACACCGACTGAACACGCACCATAACTCAACTTTTACAGTCTCAAAACTGACGTATTCCTCTAACATTTGCCACAGGTTCTATCTCGATGTCATGCACAGAACAATCTCTGCACCCTTCTCTAGTATTGCGCAGCACTACCTTGTGCCCGGACTACTTTTGACTACGGGGTTCGCCCATAAATACTGTGTTGTGCGGCCGTAAATTTTTACGGTTTGACGCGCCATTTCCCCATTCCCAGTATGCATAGCGCGAGGGAAGGGGTAAAAATCCAAGGTTTCATAGCGCCAGATGGTCGGAATAATACTAGTATGTTGTATACTGACCGGTACCCCTGATGATATGGAACCTGAACTTTTTTTTTACTTATGGTAGGACTATGCATCCTGGGAGTGCATGGGAAAATGGTAATAAACAACTGCCTATGTGCAACAAGACGACCCGAGAAATGCTAATACTTTTTTATATGTTAGGAGTATGCTCAGTACAAGTATGTAACGTTAGAAACTACATTGTTTTTTCTGCATTAGTTTCTACGGTAAAGTTTCCATTCTAAGGGAGGTTATCAGATTACAGAGGTTCCACGGACAAATGGAGTTTTTGTCTTGTCTTAAAAACCGAGAATGACCGCGGGTGACCCCAGATCGAACGAACGTTCGGTTCTAAATACGTCAGATCGGTTCGAAAAAAAGGTTGGAACAAATTTCAACAGCTCGAATGAAAGCTCATCTGTGTTGGTAGAATACATAGTTAAAGAGTTTGACTTGTTCCAACACAATAAGGAGAACTCACCATAAATTTTCGGCTGATCCCGTCAACCTTCGTCAGATTTGTGATGCAATCGCTGACTTTCCGGAAGTCGGAAACGTGATGACGTCAGGAGTGCATCAAAAGTGGCGGGGAGACGGTATCTCCCACCATCACGGTTCAGAGAGGTCTCTCAAGACTAGATTTCTGGAACACAGGCGCCCCAGTTCAAACACATCGGAAGTGTCGCAACACATACACATCGAGTCCCCCGGACATACAGTTACATTGGACAAGGTGCGCATTCTAGATACGGAGCAGGATTACTTTGTGAGAGGCGTGAAGGAGGCAGTTTACATTAGGGCCCACCAACCCTCTCTGAACCGTGATGGTGGGAGATACCGTCTCCCCGCCACTTTTGATGCACTCCTGACGTCATCACGTTTCCGACTTCCGGAAAGTCTGCGATTGCATCACAAATCTGACGAAGGTTGACGGGATCAGCCGAAAATTTATGGTGAGTTTCCTTCTTGTGTTGGAACAAGTCAAACTCTTTAACTATAAATTTCAACAGCGTTGTTGCGGGATGACTCACTACACAGAATCCATCTTTCTGCACACGCCAGGAGTGTCTTTCTGTTTCAACTTGCCTCTCGAGACGTATACATTTGTCTCTCTACCAGGAAACTACCACGATGAGCTGGCACAGAGCATCTGTACAGCGATCACCAATACACCATCTTTCATCTTCGCCATCCGTCGTGACTGCAGAGCTAACGGGGACGGTCTGACGTGCGATGCCATGTGTTCGTCCCGCCTAGCAGACATGCGACTGGCTGTTTACGGCCAGGGAAGGTTTGTGCTGCAGTAGTACTGTACTATGATCCCACCGCTGCCACCACTTGTAGTGTGTCGATACACAAAGCCTAAGTTTTTTATATAAATGGTTTTTATTGTCCAAACAGTACCCGTGCAGTCGCAGCCTTTATACCCTGCATCAATTGGTATAAAGGTTATAAAGGGTATAAAGGCTGCGACTGCACTGCACATAATAATCAATACAGATCACAACAATCAAATAATAATACACACATGATACAAATATTTGTTCCACAAATTTTTGTGGAACTGTCGCAAGGGTCTGTGCGGCTGCCGTTCGGCGCCACCAGGTGACCTCAATACGACTTTTCCTAACCGAAGTTAGGTACCCATTCACACCTGGGTGGAGTGAGGAAATTCGTGTAAAGTGCCTTTCCCAAGGGCACAACGTTGGGGCACATGTTCAGACATGTCCTGGGTACGACCCGAAATCGAACCTGGGTCTCCCCGCTTCATAGTCGATTGCTCTAACCACTACACCACCCGATGCCACAAAGTTCAACGGCCGGTCTTATGTTTTAGACTGGCTATGGTCACATGGCCAGATGGCTTAATCAGATACAGATGTGACACAAATGTTCTAGTCTCGTGTCAAGTTTCTATCCCCAACACTATGAGATGGAGAGTCGTTTGTAAGATTTTTACACCGTGAAGGAGGCCAGTGAGCTCCGACGGTGTATTGTAATTAGTCACGACTACGTACGTTCGCAGTTGTAACTCACGTATATATATAGCTGCGACTCACGTAGTATGACTTCATTGATTATGCAAATCAGGTCTCAATTCACATATTCAAAATCTACCCATGTTCCTCTCGTTCTCAATGACATATATCAGCAGTTTGAATTGTCCTATCATGGAACACAGCTCATTTATAGTTTGGCATGTTGTCCGCTATAGTATGCGCAAGGTGATGCACGCTGTTGGTTTACATGTCCATAGTAGGCTATCAAACACCTTAGCCAAACACCGTACTACCTGAGGGAGGCAAGGGCACCTAATGTATCGATAGATAGATAGATGCATGTAAATATAGCTATGCCTACCTGCCTATGTGCTATATAGGTATATTATGTATAAATATGGTTTCTTTTCCACAGTACTTCAGCGTGCATTGATGCTGTGCATGTCTACATGAATCGCCCAGTCCTTGCACCCGACCACGAGACAGATGCTGGAAAAGTTGGCCTTGCAACATTTCGGTATTTCAGTGGTGGCTGTTCCTGGACGGCTAACCACTGTGGACCCAACTACTGCTGCTGCCGTCTTCTCCCATAGGCCGCAGCAAGGATTTTTCATGGATGACATCAGCGCGCGCTTTAATTTTCATCTGATTTTAAAAGAAGAAAAACAAAAAAAACAAGAACTTTTGTTGCCATCTGACATTGGTCAACATGCCGAAAATGGGCAAATATTTCTGTTGCCATGCCGGAACGTGGATGGCAGATACATATAAATAGCATGGGACAAGACAAGGCTCTGATTTAATGTCTTGTCTTTTACTTTGATGCAGTGTTGTATTTCATTTCTTTCCCTTTATTGGTGACTGTGTATATGTTGTGTTCCCACTAAACCAATTTGTACAATGATTGAAAACTCTTATTTTTCAAATTTGTTTCAGTGAGAAATTTATGTTGTTGGCAGTAAATTTAGCATAATTTAGGTATCTTTAAACCAGGTTTATGATGTCAAACGTTAAAAATGTAGGAATATTGTTTTTTTTTGCTGGCCTTGTTTTTTTCTCCCTATCGCATGAAATTTGGTGTCTGTGGAGGATGTCATCTATAAAGTTTTACTTGCTGTGGCCTTAGAAAAACTAGCAACGCTAGAGTTCCACGATCTCATACGTTTCCCAAATCGGCATGTAATTTTCTTTGTCGTCTGCATGCATGCCCGTGATGATGCACATATTTTTATTTTTACTATAGCTGTTTTCGTGGTCAATGTGATATTTCAGAAGCACCCCTACATGTAGGGGCATATTGGACTCGCCAAAAAACACATTGTTTTAAATGGCTGGGGGTGCGTTTTTCTCAGGCAGACGCTGCGGTGGGTCATCGATTAGAAACAGCTATGCGTCGTATGGGGGCTAATTTTAAATGTGCTCGCAGCTCAAAGATATGGTTGTGTCCGTTGTATTTCTCTGTATTTTAGCATGTGGTGTGCCATTATGTTCGTGATGATTCACTTTTTTTTACCGTAGCATTTTTCATGTTGAAGTAAATGCATGTTTCAGAAACACCCCTATTTGTATACTTCCGTGGAATAGGCTATAGCTTCAGAAGCTGTGTGGTAGGCAAGGTTCTGGCAGCAGATATAAGGTGTTTGTTGTATATAATCATTTGCGAGTATCTGTTGGGATTGTGACTTATGGTTTGCACCTACTAGGATACTTGGTAAAATAAATAATATGTAGCAAATGAAAGATATTGTTATCAAAGAAAAATTTGTTCTTCTGTTTAAATTGTGACTTTGTATTTCTGTTTACATTGTCGTGCCGTTGAGCTTATGTACATGCATTTACAAAATATAAAACTTCACGGAGAATTGTCGGCTATGGACACTTGTTTAGTTTTCATTATGTTCACCTTTACTACCAAAATTCACGCACATGTGGATATCATCCACGTAATTAAATCAACATGGCGTTAATATTAGTGTGTCAAATGGTAGTAAATGACGTGACTACAATACCACTATAGGGGGTCAGATTCCTCTTGTAAGGAGGTCGGAAGTAGAAGCACAGGAATGTGTAAACTACAATCACTAAACATACAAGGAAGGATTAAACCGTGATGTTAAGCCTTTCGGTTGACAAATTATACCATTTTAATAATTGATTTCGCAAATAAGATCCTCATTTGCATGGATTTTTTCAGTTGATCATATTCTCCACCCATTGACAGCCTTACCTTAAGAAAAATGGCTATTCTAGCACTTCCTCATAAATTTTGCAAATGAGATCATGATTGAGATCATGATTTGAATCAATTATGTTTATTTATGTTATTCATCTTCACTTTACTTCCAAATGTGGCAAGTATGAAATTCCCAGCAGTTACAACTATTGGATTATAACAATGTTCCATCAATTGTGCAAACCAGGTCTTCCTTTACGTAATCTATATAAAGCACGAGACCATGGTCTGTGTTTAGTACCATGGATTGGGCGGTCCCACGCAGTATGACTACAAACACATGGTTCGTGTCACCTTCAAAAACACTTTAGTATACTAGTAGTACAGTTAATGCGTCGAAAACGAGAAGTCGAAAGGTTTGCACTGTGTGTATTATTCACAGCAAGGACATTATACATTCTGTACAAATTGTTCAAAGTTATTGGGGCCGTAAAACCAAACCCTATCATCCAAAATTTACAAATGCAGATAACCGATCTAAGCCAACCTATATATTCTGCAATGAGGTACTTTTTTGAAGTGACGTGATCCATGTATATGTTTTCATAGTGCGTAAGAGCTAGGTCCAAGGAGCCAGTAAAAACATGTATCTGTTCGTCTTGTCTTGTTTTGTTGTGACCTATACTAAGTGTGGCGAAATGCCCAATATAACGGTCGTCATTCATTCCTCTATCTTTATAACAATCATCTTGAAAGTTCATGATTGTTATTTTGAATCCGGTTGTTGCATAAATTGCAGGACTGTCGGATAAATTGTAGGACTTTCGGTGAAAATGGTGCGATATCTTTTGTAATTAGTGATGTTAGGGCATCAACACTCAGAGTACAGTCCCTGAGTACAGGTCCTTCGCTGAGCACAGCCCTTTCGTTGAGCACAGGTCCTTCGCTGAGCACAGCCCCTTCGTTGAGCACAGCCCCTTCGTTGAGCACAGCCCATTCGCTGAGCACAGCCCCTTCGCTGAGCACAGCCCATTCGCTGAGCACAGCCCATTCGCTGAGCACAGCCCCTTCGCTGAGCACAGCCCCTTCGCTGAGCACAGCCCCTTCGCTGAGCACAGCCCATTCGCTGAGCACATTTTGTGAACTCCCAACATTTTACTGAACTCATAAAAGACCAACGGGTAGAAGAGGAGGAGGAACTTAGATCCTTTGATGTTACAGCCCTGTTTACCTCAGTTCCTATTGATAAGGTTTGGATGTCATAACAAGTAGACTCCAGAACCACACCACCCTAGCACAACGTATAACTCTTACTCCGCCAACAAGTCATAAGCCTTTTAAAGATCTGTTTGGAGTGCACGTACTTTGTACACAATGAAGTGTTTTATCAGCAAATTTACGGTGCAGCAATGGGCTCTCCAGTCTCACCCATTGTCTGTAACCTTTACATGGAACATCTAGAACAGTTGGCTATTAACACTGCCCCCCACCCCCCACTTTGGTGGTATCGTTTGTTTGTTTGTTTGTTTGTTCGTTATGTTGATGACACTCACACGAAGTTGAAGAAAGTACATGCTCAGGAGTTTACAGACTTTCTGAACAGTTTAGACCCTGACATAAAGTTTACTATACTGAGGAGGAGCAGAACAGATCTTTACCCTTTCTTGACACCCTTACAGTGATACAAGAAGATGGGTCACTACAGATAAGGATTTACCGGAAATCCACACACACGGATCAATACCTAAACTTTGACTCTAACCATCCACTTGACCACAAACTAGGGGTGATTAGGACCCTATTCCACAGAGCCAACACCATAGTGTCAGATCCACAGGATTTAGAGACCGAGAAGTCCCACCTGACGGAAGCATTAAAAACTTGTGGCTACCCCCAGTGGGCCATCAACAAAGCGACCTGCCCCAAACCACCCAACACCAATCCTCAGCAGGAACAAAGTCCAAGGGGTTGGTGGTCCTTCCATACATCAAGGACTTGTCTGAAGCTCGCAGGAGGATTTTCATTTCCCACGGGATTGCAACGTGTTTCAAACCAACCACTACTTTAAGACACATTCTTGTTGCGCCCAAGGACAAAACCCCCAAAAGAGAAGAAGTGTGGTGTCATTTACCACATCCCGTCAGGGAAAAAACAACAGGGCCTGCCAGGAAACGTACATTGGGGAAACAGAGAGGTCTCTAAAAGCCAGGTTTCAAGAACATACACGGCCTAGCTCTGCCAGTTCAGAGGTGTCTCAACACATCCACATAGAGTCCCCTGGACACTTTGTTTCACTTGACACTGTAAGGATTTTAGACACTGAACAATACTATTTCTTGAGAGGGGTGAAGGAAGCCATAAACATCAGGGCCCATCACCCTACATTGAACTGCGACGGGATCCGACATCGTCTACCAGATACCTTTGACCCAGTGTTGACGTCACACTTCAAAGAAGCCACGTGACAAGCTTCACTGGGTGAGTCTATTGAGGAAGACCAGAGTGACTGGTCGAAAGCTCTAGGTGAGAGAATTTTTTGTGTCGGATCAAAAGTTTTTACTTTAAACAATATTTTTTTGTGTTATGGAAAATATATACTCGTATTCTAGATTGTCAATTTAGTTCATAATATGAAGACTCTCAAAAAAGGCTAGGGTCGGACGTTTTTTCTAGGGTCGGTCTGGAAATAACTTTTTTTCCTAGGCCCACTTGCTGTGACGTCTGGCAATAAGTGGTAATTGCTCAGACCCTGATACTTTCAATCTATGAATGACTATCCTCTATAAGATAAAATACAAAATGCTGAGTTGAAAGTAGAGTAGTAAAAAGATATAATTTCAGTAAACAATTAAACAATAAATATGGGCACACACCTGGTCAAGGAACCGTCAACAGGAAAACTATAAACTAGTACATTCATACAAACCTAATGCCACTTCCTGGCGCTAGTTACTGACTATGTACATCATCTAATCGATACCATCAAAGTTAATGCAATAAACATAATAACAGTTAGGTACGGCTAACTCAACCGAACTAGTCAACACTATAAGGAAAGTACCACAGAGAACGATATCGCAGGTGCTGTACAACATATTAAGACTAATTACAGAAAAAAAACCACAAAGATTTTAGCATTTACTGCATGTTAGTAAACTGCTCTCAAAAACATAAGTCATATATTGTAACGGAATTAAAAACTATAATATGTGAAATTCAAAAAGAAATTAACAATATACAATGTATATCACATATACTATGAGTAAAGGAATGCATCCCATCCGAAGGGATTATCTGCCCAATTGAAAGCAACATGAATTAAAGAGGTAAACTAAACTAAACAATCTAAACAAGTTGCAACTACTTGATAGTCTTCTAGTGAACTTCCTATACTGCTATCAACACATCGAAGATGTAGGCTTTCTCACCTACACGCAGTGTCTTTGGAACATCTTTAAAATATTGTTATCAGATAGTCAAATTGTCTTTATAATATGTGAAAAAAAGCATCCCACAGTCTTCACTCCTGTTGGGTTTCTCCTTTGTGGATTTGCATGTGCCGCTTGAAATTAAACAACTGACCGAACTGCCGGCGGCATTCTTCACAACTGTAGGGTTTCTCCCCAGTGTGAGTCCGCATGTGTTTCTTCAGACTACTAAGCTGACTAAACTGCCTGCTGCACTCCCCACACATGTAGGGTTTCTCCCCCGTGTGAGTCCGCATGTGTGTCTTCAGAACACCCAGCAGACTGAACTGCTTGGAACACTCCCCACACCTGTAGGGTTTCTCCCCAGTGTGAGTAAGCATGTGTGTCTTCAGAACACCCAGCTTACTGAACTGCTTGGAACACTCCCCACACCTGTGGGGTTTCTCCCCAGTGTGAGTAAGCATGTGGCTCTTCAGATGACCCAGCTCACTAAACTGCCTGCTGCACTCCTCACACCTGTAGGGTTTCTCCCCTGTGTGAGTCCGAATGTGGATCTTTAGATTAACCAGCTGACTAAACTGCCTGCTGCATTCCCCACACATGTAAGGTTTCTCTCCGGTGTGAGTCCGCATGTGAGTCTTCAGATTATCTAGCTGACTGAACTGTCTGCTGCACTCCCCACACATGAAGGGCTTCTCACCGGTGTGAGTCCGCACGTGTATCTTCAGAACATGCAGCCGACTAAACTGCTTGCCACACTCCTCACACCTGTAGGGTTTCTCTCCCGTGTGAATTCGCATGTGTGTCTTCAGCACACTAAGATACCCGAACTGCTTGCCGCACTCCTCACACCTGAACACTTTCACACCTTTGTCCTGCCTCCCGGTTTCCTCTCCAGACTCCTCACATCTTTCTCCTTGCCAGGTGGAAACGGTGTTGGCAGAACCCCCTGCTGACCCTCCTTGCCAGGTGGAAACGGTGTTGGCACAACCCCCTGCTGATCCTCCTTGCCAGGTGGAAACGGTGTTGGCACAACCCCCTGCTGATCCTCTTTTGACGTCATCCACTTCTATGCTGCCTGTTGTTGCCATGTCAACAAGAGCTGGATCAATCTCTGTAAAAAATAATAAACAGGCGATCAACAAAACATGCAGAAATATGTATTAGTTGTGTCAAATTGATACTGTCTTTTTAGCCATCAAATGTTTTGGTGAGAGATTTTAAGCTGCTGACACCCTCCATCATTAGTGAACCGTCCCGATGTTTTCACACTCTCCTGTCTGGCGTCAGGGCGGGGCTCACGTAGGGGTTTACAGTATACTCAGCATTAGCTTAGTCTTAATAAATTAACGCTTTCCTCATCATCAACAACAGAATCCCTTTATTACAATGATTTTTTTTATTCGGTCCATAAAATTACACACTGGATTGCGAGAATTTTTTTTGCTAATTCAAATGCGACACACAACATAATCTCGTATCTCCCTACCGATTCTCACTCTGTTTACGTTTTCAACATACGGGCGTCTCCTTGCTTCTATAAACAATAATTTGAGAGCCAAACATACAAAAATACAACCCAACACTATCAGATTATTTTCTCTGTCCATACTACGACATGGTTTTGATCAGCGCTGCACTGAAATGAAACAGCTTTTAATACTGACCGCATTGCCCAGACCTCATGCAAAATACCGGTCCAAACGCACGCCGCCAAATTGAGCAATAATGTGTTTTGTCAACCCTACAAACCTCTGAAAACCAACTACATGCCGACTTCTCCTACCTGGAAGTTAGTTGATACACAGTCCGGGCCGAGTCGCCTGTTGAATCACTGCACAAATCCTCCAAAGACGGAAAACTGCTCAAGATGCCGCGTCCTTGCGGGGCGGGGCAGGAAGACGCGATGCTGTGACCCGGAAGTAATCCCCTGCATGCCAGAGGTCAGGTCTCGTTACCTGATTACCCAACTAATGTGCACGGGCCTCAGGGAAAACGCGTTTGTCAACTGACGCGAGGCCTCAGAGAAACACACGCAGCAACTACAAACAGCTTTACGTAACGATCAGGACCCGAGGAATGCATATTTTAAACTACCAGTCTACGAACTAAAAAAACTAAGAGATAAGCCCGATGTGTTTATTTTCAAAATGGACGAAAAAGGTTGACTTAATCGCTTGTAATATATAGCCTCCTTCGCAGTCTTGTTGGGCGTGGGCGTTATTTTTGTGAGCGACGCGAGTAATATGCCGCCGCGAGGGACGATTTGCTGCCGAGGGAGTTCTTGCCGTGGAGAGAAGGTTTGCCTTGTTCTTGCATTTCACATTGTATTTGAAATTATGTGTCCTGTGTGTTTTGTCCTTATATGTTGACTCTCTAATATCAGCTTTGCTGCCTTGAGAGTCAGTGTAATGTCTTGTTGCATTTTTCAATAAATAAATGAAATAAACGACAATCCATTTAAGTCTTCTCAAGTTATCGTGTTTACAGACACACACACACACACACACACACACACACACACACACACACACACACACGAACGCCGCTGAAAACATAACCTTCTTGGCGAAGGTATTTAACTAGCCTTTGCTCCAAGACCCGTGTGCATTTGTTGGGTAATCAGGTAATGAGACTTGACCCCAAGACCTCCCGGTTGGGAAGTACTTCCGGGTCACGGCATTGCGTCTTCCTGTCCCGCAAGGACGCGGCATCTTCAGCAGTTTTCCGTCTTTGGAGGAGTTTTGAAGTGGTTCAACAAGCGACTCGGCCCGGGCTGTGTATCAACTAACTTCCAGGTAGGAAAAGTCGGCATGTAGTTGCTAGTCAGAGTTTTGTATGACTTGTATAGTTGGGAAACAACGTTTCATAATATTTCTGTGGCGGCGGGCGTTTGGCCAGTGTGCGTGTGATCTGGGCCGTGCTGTTTAAATTAAATTTCAGTCATGGAGATTCAAATACTAGTATAAGAAGCTGCTTGGAAGCTTGTTTCAGTGCAGCTGTGCAAAGAAATGTCGTTGTGTGGATGTGGTGTCTGAGAAATTTCTAGAGTATACGTTTGAATTTTCGGTTCTGTTATAGATCGGTCTACCTATTTATCGGAAAACACCGGAAAGCACCGGAAAACACATATAGGAGGCTTAAATATGCCGGAATACACCATGCATTGATGAGATAACAGCCCAAGTCGCTGTATTTTGGCATAAGATAACTTATACATAGCCCAGGGAACAAGAATCACTTAAATACTGAATCGGCAAATTTTGGACGTAGACGCCCCAGCCAGTCGCCATGTTTGTTTACACAGCGTAACGCAGTATGTTTGTTTAGCGCGATCGTAGAAGAGATGTGAAATGTACCAACATGAAAAGTTATTTTGCACTTCAGCATCGCAGTTTGCTGTATTTTGACCACGGAATAACTTATGCATGGCACAGACAACAAAAAATCACTACGAATCGGCAACTATCGGGCCCCGCGGAGGCGACAAACGCGGTCAGTCGCCATGTTGTTTACATAGCGTATGTTTGTTTAGTGCAATCACGGCAGAGAAGTGAAATGTATCGAAATAAAAAAAGTTCTTTTATACTTCAACATCACAGTTTGCTGAACTTAAGTTTACCCATTACATATTAAAGCTATGCGTGGACCAGGGAACAAGAAATCACTATGAATCGCTGGCAACTATCGACTGGAGGCGACAAACTCGGCCAGTCGCCATGTCCGTTTACAGTCGTCGCCATGTTCGTTTGTTTAACGCGATCACTGCAACATCGCAGTTTGCTGTATTTTGACCGTGAGATAACTATTGGTGGCCCACTAGGGGACAAAAAAATCCCGTCGCGGTATCCGCGGGATAAACAGTAGGGGAGTGTTCAGTATGTGTACTTACAGACTAAGAGAGCCTTAGTTCCAAAGGTGGTTCTGCCCTTGCAATAATATGGAGGATGCTCAACCCCCTTGATCTAACTAGAATTCCTAAAACACTGACAGAAATTTTAAGTTAAAAGCAAAAAGTCAACAGCTTTTTTCCCAGTGGATCACACCATGGAGGTAGAAAAGGGTGGTAGAAAATCAAACACATACATCACTTAGGTCCATGACTTGTCTCTGTATAAAAGAACTCTTTATTTCAATTCTCTGCAGTGATCGCGCTAAACAAACATACGCTATGTAAACAAACATGGCGACTGGCCGCGTTTGTTGCCTCCAACCGATAGTTGCCGATTCACAGGGATTTCTTGTTCCCTGGTCCACGCATAACTTTAATATGCAATGGGTAAACTTTAGTACAGCAAACTGCGATGTTGAAGTATAAAAGAACTTTTTTTTATTTCGATACATTTCACTTCTCTGCCGTGATTGCACTAAACAAACATACGCTATGTAAACAAACATGGCGACTGGCCGAGTTTGTCGCCTCCAGCCGATAGTTGCCAGCGATTCATAGTGATTTCTTGTTCCCTGGTCCACGCATAACTTTAATATGCAATGGGTAAACTTAAGTTCAGCAAACTGTGATGTTGAAGTATAAAAGAACTTTTTTTTATTTCGATACATTTCACTTCTCTGCCGTGATTGCACTAAACAAACATACGCTATGTAAACAACATGGCGACTGACCGCGTTTGTCGCCTCCGCGGGGCCCGATAGTTGCCGATTCGTAGTGATTTTTTGTTGTCTGGGCCACGCATAAGTTATCCCATGGTCAAAATACAACAAACTGCGATGCTAAAGTGCAAAATAACTTTTTTTATTATGGTACATTTCACATCTCTTCTACGATCGCGCTAAACAAACATATTGCGTTACGCTGTGTAAACAAACATGGCGACTGGCCAGGCCGCCTACGGCCATATACGATTCAGTATTTAAGAGATTTCTTGTTCCCTGGGCTACGTATAAGTTATCTTATGCCAAAATACAGCGACTTGGGCTGTTATCTCATCAATGCATGGTGTATTCCGGTATATTTAAGCCTCCTATATGTGTTTTCCGGTGCTTTCCGGTGCTTTCCGTTGCTTTCCGGTACATAGGTAGACCCGTTATAGATTAAGAAGGAGCTGCCGCCTGGAAGTTGAAAATTTAAACAGAGCGTTTCCGCTAGAGGGGCGTCCACCCGTCACATGACGGCCTCGTGTCGCTTTTGACGGCCTAAACTCGGACAGAGGCCGTCCTCTTAAAACTTGATATACCTTTTGCTGAGATTCGGAAAAATTGACATTCTTTGTTTTGTGGCTGTAGACGAGGACGCCGTCCAAGGCAGGAAACTTCGGACACAAGCTGTTTGTTTTGCTATTGTTATATGCTGAAGAACAATCGAAGTCGGCGCCTTTCGCATACGTTAATCTCATTATAACCTGTTTTTCAAGTCTCCAGTCGGTCATTCTCACGTAGCGTCATTCCTTTCAAAGGATTAAGTCCTTGTATTTTTTTCAACATGCATGTTGTGAAGAAAATAAAAATCCACGCCGCATTTCGCTGGCACTTCAGGCTTGCTTCAGCAACAAAAAGACTCCACAAATCGGCGTACGGATACATATATTTTCCCAACTAAAAATTATCTTATGTCAAGTCAAGTATTTCTTTACATACTACTTAACATTCTCTCTACGTTGTTTCTACCACAACTTAGTAACATTCCATTTCTACGTTGTTTCTACTAGTTGTTTCTAGTATCATTTTCAAACACAATGGTGTCAATACCAGATCAGTATCCATACACAACTATAGATTGTCTGGCGAAAACAAGATACTGGGAGACTAGAGTGGGAGTGCAAAAACAAAGTATAAAAACACGCCAAAAAATAAGCTGAAGCACACAATAAGCATGAAGGCCTAAGGACAGTTCACCTTTACTTTTGCAATGTAACTTTCAAAGACCCTGCATAGCCAGGTAGCATCAGTAACAACATACAGCAAAGACACCTACGTATTTGCCCGTCTGTTGAGTTATGCTAGTTGCTTTAAAAACTAAATAAATAAACTTTTATATGCGTTTGTTTACATCCTCTTTACCATAGCATAAACATTTACTGTACTTCTACTCAACTATACATATTTCAGCATGTTTTATGAAACGCTTGTTTCATTTTATTTAAGAGGTTGATCCAGCTCTAATTGACATGGCGACAACAGGCAGCATATGTTTGGATGATGTCATGAGAGGATCAGCAGGGGGTTCTGCCAACACCGTTTCCACCTGGCAAGGAGAAAGCTGTGAGGAGTCTGGAGAGGAAACCGGGAGGCAGGACAAAGGTCTGAAAGTGTTCAGGTGTGAGGAGTGTGCCAAGCAGTTCAGTTGTCTTAGTGCTCTGAAGACACACATGCGGACTCACACCGGAGAAAAACCCTACAGGTGTGAGGAGTGTAGCAAGCAGTTCAGTCAGATTGGTAGTCTGAAGACTCACATGCGGACTCACACTGGGGAGAAACCATACAGGTGTGAGGAGTGCAGCAAGCAGTTCAGTCAGCTGTGTAGTCTGAAGAAGCATGTGCGGACTCACACTGGAGAGAAACCCTACAGGTGTGAGGAGTGCAGCAGGCAGTTCAATCAGCTGGGTAATCTGAAGACCCACATGCGGACTCACACTGGGGAGAAACCCTACAGGTGTGAGGAGTGCGGCAAACAGTTCAGTGAGCTTAAAAGTTTGAAGACACACATGCGGACTCACACAGGGGAGAAACCCTACAAGTGTGAGGAGTGCAGCAGACAGTTCAGTCGGCTGGGTAATTTGAAGACACACATGCGGACTCACACTGGTGAGAAACCCCACAGATGTGAGGAGTGCAGTAAGCAGTTCAGTCATCTGGGTGATCTGAAGAGCCACATTCGGACTCACACTGGGGAGAAACCCTACACATGTGAGGAATGCAGCAGACAGTTCAGTCGGCTGGATAGTTTGAAGAAACATATGCGGACCCACACTGGTGAAAAACAAGTGTGAGGAGTGCAGCAGGCCGTTCAGTCAGTTAGGTGATCTGAAGACCAACATTCGGCCTCACACAGAAGAGAAACTCTACGGGTGTGAGGAGTGCAGCAGGCAGTTTTAAGACCAAAGTAATTATAACCGACACAAGCAAACCCACATGGGAGAAAACCAAAAGGCGTACGCGTGAAGACTGTGGGATGCTGTTTCGCCCCACAAGTTATGTTATAGGATAATTTGATGCACAATCTGAGAACCTTGTTTTTTTGGTTAAGTATATGCCAAAGACACTGCATGGAGGCGAGAAAGCCTACAGGTTCGATGAGATGATAGCAGAATAGGAAGTTCACTAGAAGACTATTACTGATTTTATGATGGTATGATAGTTGTATCAGTAACTGCACATCATTCCGTTTAGACTATCTCTTCCTGCTTTAAATGTGTAGCGGGTAATCCATTTGTATTGTATACATATCTTATACACTGTACATGTTGTTCATTTCTTTGAATTATTGTTGCCCTTGTTCTGGAATATAATCTCTTTCCTTTGGAAGCATCCCATCTGTTATAGGTGATATTGTATATATAGAATACAACACGGGGTATTCCGTATCGCCCGAGGTATCAGCCTGACCGCGGTCGGGCCGGGACCGAGGGCAATGCGGAATACACTGTGTTGTATTTTATTTATGTCATACCCACCCAAGAAAACGCGCCTTTCAATGCAAGATGAGCCAAAAGTTGGTGCCCCTAAACCTTCAAACGCAACAGCATCAGTTCCAACGTCCGGATTCTGTATTCGAATTTTCGAAAGCGGCGCACGCGGTTAGGGCGAAACGCGTTCGAATTGTTCTATGGAAGCCAGGGAAGCGTTTCGATAACGTTATCGCGGCCCGGGTATGATATAAAATGAAATGCCTGATGAAATATCTAAGTTCATCCAACAGATCATTATCGTTCCAGGGAGCTTTTTGTTTTATTAGTTTTAGCATGTTGACTTTTTATCTTTTCCTTGTTAGTCGGCATATATATATTTCCTTAATGACAAAATATAACTTACACATTTTGTAGTTTTGAGAGTTTACTAAAATGCAGCAAATGCTAAACCTTTTGTTTTTCTTTAATTAACCTTAATTAATATGTTGTACAGCACCTCTTGTATTGTTATCATTTTACATTGTTGTCCGGTTGGGTTAGCCTTCTTAATTCTTTTGTTGTTATCTTATAATTAATCGCATTATCTTTGATGGTGTCGATTGGACCAAGGAGGATAAATACATCGTATTTAATAACCTTCTCTGTTGGACGATGTACATAATCAGTAACTAACTAACTCGGGAAGTGATTGTACTACACTTAGCATTAGGTTTGTAGGAATGTACTGGTTTCGTTTTCCTGTTGAAGTTTTCTTGACAAAGTGTGCGTCGACGTCCACGTTTTCTGTTTAGTGAATTATTTCTTTTGACTACGTTCAACTCTTTTATTATTTTGGACGATATTTAGGTTTGGATGCAAGGTATAAGGCGCTTTTTACGTCGATTACCTTAAAATAAATCCTTTTTTACGAACTTAGTTGCTCAAACTCTTCCCTTTATTGTTTTGTGGTGTTGTCACCCGTCATAATTTCTCGAAATCAGAGCGAAGCAGGTAGCTAAAGAGCGAATGCACTGGGGCTACTTTTAGTCTTATTATGCCTTGTACGTTTTAAAACAAAAACTGAATGTAAAAACAAAACTAAATGGAACCGAATAAAAGTATTTTTCATTGAAAATGTTCATTGGAGATTTTAAAAGTACTAGTCTCTTACAGATCATTTTACTGGTATTTGCTCTTTGTTGGGTAATCAGTTAATGTAGAATCATGATACAATGAACTAAATGGTCAATATAAAAGGTTAAAAACCTTCTCAATATATATTTTCATGACCTAAAACACAGGCCAGTGACTACTGGTGCCTTTTTTTCTGTCACAAATTATTCCCGATTTAATACTAGCCTATAATATGCGACGAAAACAAGCAGGCATTTCAATGTGTGTAGTCAAGGAGCTTTCATCACATGTGATGAAAGCTGAGCTTTTATGTAATTGGTCTCCACGCAGTTGGTTATCTTTCTTTCAGTTTTAATTTTGCACATGCAAAATGGAAGATGTTTGCTGTAGAATACTTAGTTTGTATTCATGAATTTCGTCTTGGCTAGAAAAGGCGACGTACATATTTCTAAGCGTATCGACTTGGTCTGTCTTCGCGCCTTCGCTGGCCAGCAGGAAGCTGGCAAGAGACACAGTGACTATGTTTGGGAGGAAGCATCAGCCCAAGACTGGGGACAAAGGAGGTAGTGTGTTTCTGCATAACGTGGAAAATTTGCCACCTATTTTTTTAACGGTGTCGCTCAATGCAAGGCCAATTATTTTTGGCCACTTCTAGGCATAGAGCTAGAGGTACTTAAGTGAGTATAATGTAGTTATGTCAGGAGATGGCAGTGGACCTTTGTTTTGAAGCTTTGTGGATTGTAGTCGGACGGAAAGCATCTGTTTGAAAGATTTTTGCAGTCCGGGGAAAGAAGCTGTTGTTGTAAAATGACTTGGAGACAGGTATGTTAACGGTGTATTGATGAGAACTGGAAGAGAACCTAGTGGCACGCTGAAAGGTTCTGAGCGGCGGAACAAGAAGTGCAAGTTCTCCTGAACATCGACCATGAAAGTATCTGTAAAAGAGGGATAGGGATGCGACATTGCGTCTGTGTGAGAGGGAATCCAGCTTTGCGGCCAGAGAGAGTGGCTATGTCAGGAGATGGCGGTGAACGTTTGATTTCTAGCTCGGATGATAGAAGACTTTCCTTAAGAATAACTTTAAACGTATTTCATTCCCAGCTTATTGGAACATCGTTCCATCCTTCAGAGGTGTTCCACTTGATAGAATGATTCCAACTTGAATCATTATTTCTAATTGAATTATTATTTAGTTTAAAATAAATTTTATATCTCTGTGCAGCAAATTCTTGAAGCTATTTCTAGCCGTATCCGAGAATTTGTTCATGCATCTGGTGTCATTTACAAGACAGAAGCTAAATTGTAAATTTTTTCATGAATTTGGAGTGTACATAGATAAAGGCAACAATTACACCATAAAACATGGGACAATTAAGATCAGGTTGTAGATTTTTTTTCAAAGATGTTTCATGCCATCTGAATTTTCTGGAAAAAAAAGGTGCCAGTGTTACACGTTTCAATATAGTGGTTGGCCATGTAACTTCCGGTTGGTGTTTATTTCATAGATTTTTTTTAACGGAGTGGTTCAATGCAAGGCCTACACGACCACTTCTAGGCATTGAACTAGAAATATGAGAGAAACATGGCTATGTCAAGAGATGGCGGTGAACGTTTGATTTGAAAGCCTGTAGATTGTAGGTTGGTGGGAAACACTTGTCAGGGATGGAACTCCAAAACTTGGCCGTACGGGGAAAGATAGATATCTAGATAACGCATTTCGATTCAATAAACTCGTATTGTACATTTCTAAGCGTCAAATGAATAATCCAATTATATAATAATAATAATGAGAGTGGACATATCAGATCATACCAGTGACGTAAGACTAAAAACATATCTTGAATATCCTCCAGGCACCACACCCATGCCTCAATCCCAGACTGACTGGAGGTCAACTGCGCACGCCGCCGCGAAAATACCTAACCCTATGTACGCCTCTCGAACAGGTAAACGGTTTACTTGTCTTACACTGTATGTCTTACATTGTATATAATTATCTTGAATGTTCGTCTGCTAGAATTCATCATGAAGCAAGTTTAAACTGTAATTTTCGACACAAGAAATTGAACTGATCAAGGAATGAGCACTCCGCCGCTTCTGTGATGTCACGTTATACAGATGACACGTGATTCGGTGAGCAGTGGATTCAAGGTCGCAGAACACAGTATTAATGGACGACCCCCGGGTCTATATGATGCGGGTATAGAAAATAGTACAGCGAATATTCTTGCAGACTGGGTAGAAAGCCTGATATGAGCGTCAGCACCAGCTAGATATAAATTGTGCTGTGTGGTATAGGAATGGGTTTGAGACTGTATGATTTGAATTGTGAAGGTTTTGCTGTTCGTGTATTACGCAACCGACATTACATTGCGCGGCATTACACAACCGACTTTCGGGTGAGTTGGCTGCAGTTCAGTTGACCTCCGTAGAGGGCGATTTCAAAGTGTACGTCACGAGCAGATACGCCGACAGATTAATTTTTGTTTCTGGACATTTTGTAGCTTGTACCTTCTACTCAAACATATACGATTTTCGTATTTGTAAAGTGCTCCCTACTATATTTTTTACCGCGTCGAAGTAAGTCATATTGGCGTCCTTAACTGTAGAAATCCCCATAGGGCGAAATCTGTCCTCTGTTACGTTATAGGTTGCAGAGACCCCACCACCACCCCACCCCCTATCCACACATTTTGAGCCACAGTGCGGTGCCCTTGAATTCGGTATGAGGGTTGAATGATAATGGTTATTTTGGCGGCATTCTAGAGTACTGCAGCGGCATTTACGGGTTTGATATAGTGGTTTGTCCTGGGTATTTGTTAGTAGTAGGTCGTGCCGGGCAGGCACCCCTTAAGCTACTGTCACAACCCTCCGTACGTGCTTCTGCGTGCTGTCTACGTGCAAAAACGTGGGCAAACGTAGGGCATCCGTGCGTACCGCCTCCGTACGGAATCCTACGGATTTGGGAGCATACAGACACGCCGTAGAACTTTAAGTGCATGTAAAACTTTTTGGCGACGTCTCAGGGAGGAGCCTAATGCATAATGGTACAGTATTGTGTGCAATTCGCAAGAATTCTAGGAATTGTACAGGCATTTTGTCCACAGGCATGCGGAATGTCCACGGGCATTTCTCTGACCCACATCTATACCCACATTCCTGGAAACCTGAAGACCTGTCTACCCCAGATGGCCCTACTTCCTGTGACCCCGGGCTCGTTCACTATACACACAGGGGAGGAGTGTACTGTATCTGTCTAGACTTAACCAAAGTCCAAAGTCCAAGTACCAAGTCTTCCTCAAAATCATGAAATGATGGCAGTGCGCCATGCAAACAATAACCCTAACAGCAACCACCGTCGCTATGGCAATGTATGTTTTCATTGCCAGTCTTGTTCTACGTGCGGTCTGCGGATTCACCACCCGTGCGAGTACGAGCGACGCGCGTGCCCCGTACGTGCCGTGCGGAAGAAGCACGTGTGAGTACGGCCCCCTTACGGTAAAGTTGCAATCGCACAGAGATCGTACGTTGTAAGCACGTACAACTCACTTACCACTTGCGCAACGTACGATGCACGCAACCGCTCACGGCCAGACGTGGCGTGCAGACCACACTCTTACACTTTGCGCAACCGTGCGAGTGACGTGCGTCGACGCCACTCCTTCCCGCCCCACGTTTTCAGAAAAAACGTAGCAGACGTAGCCTCCCAAAAAACGTACGGACAAAAAGCACGTACGGCGGGTTGTGACCGAGGCTAAAGCCAACAGATGCTCGCACACCAGGAGTATTTGGTCACATTCTATAAAAGGTCGATTTGTTACTCCGTGAAGGAGGTCAGGACCTCCGGACGGAGTGTTG